ATATAAAATACAGCTTAAAAATAAATCTACAAATGCGATAATCATGGAATTATACAAATATTATATAGAGGAGAGATTTGATTGTATGTTTGCATCGAAAAAGCTCCTTAAGTAATGGACTGCTTTTTAAAATACATCTTGCGCGGGTGACATAGGCAATAATAACAATAACTATATTATATATTAACTAATGCGATAATCATATAATATCATATAAACGTTATATGTTAGCTACTTGTCATCCCAAGCTAGCCATAAATGTCTACTGAGGGAATGGACCATGTTGCCATTGAATCTTTTATGTACCCAACTAATATTATACCCCTAACGAAACTTTTACGGGATCGTTGGGTTACATAAAAATATGGAATGGGAACTGAAATTAATACAACCTGTAAAGTGTGTTCTTCTTATTTCCGTATATAGTTTGTTTAATCTTATAACAAAATATGTTTTGGTTGCACTATTTGCATCTAACTGGTTACGACGTCATTAAAAAGGTTAGGTACATAAAAAAATAAATGATCTAAAATATTCGTTTTCATTTATTTTCAAAAATCTGATACATTTTAAAAAAATAAACTGCGACAAAACTCCTGGACGTTTATGAACCTATTACAATCTATATCTACTAATATTATAGACAGGTTAATATTCTAAAATTGTTTATTGTTTGTAAGGGGTAATCTTCGGAGATAATGATCGATTAATGAAAATTATTTCACCTACGGGAAACTACATCATACGTATGTCACGTTAGGCTACGCGGGTTAAACAGTGGGAAAACGACTAATATCTAATAAACACATTGCTGCACTGATGCATTTTGACCCCTATCTCCAATGTATTACAATCGAGTATAGAAATTTGACAGTTTGTACAACCTGTCGTGCTGTTGACGGTACAAAGTTGGTGTAAGTTGATCCAGTGAATTTTGATGTCAAAGATGCATCTCATTGTTAGCTGCGATTCTGCTACAACTATTAGGATAACTATGAAACCTTCAACCAAACATTTTTATAGTTTTAAATTTTCGTAATAGCTTTGATTTTCTAGACGAATAAAAATATTGTGATGTTACAATATAAACATATTAATTGATAAGTTATTATTACTTATCGTTATGACTCTAGCTATGAGTCAGGCGGTTGCAGCCATTCTTTGAAAACAGCGTTAAGCATAGATACACACCCTCTTAATAAATCGTTTAATGGACGGATCTTATCTCACAGCCTGCGTTGTGACCACCTAATAAAGATATACACCATAGCAATACGACATAACAGTTTAATTAATTTTTACTATATTATTTCATAATATTATTTTGACTTTGATTGTTTTAACTTTCTGAATTCCTTTAAAGGCCTTACTGAAATGTGATTAAAAAGTTGAAACGAAACTAAAAGTATTCCGGAAATTAGAAAAAAGAAATGAATTAATTAAAAATATAAAACATCCATAAAGCTATCGCTCTAGCTGTGAGTGAGGGGGTTCTCATGAAATCCATTAGGCAATAGATAACTGGCTGTAAAAAAAGGTTTTGCCAATAAAACAGTCTTGAGGTAGGCCTCAATTCTGCTAATTTTTATGTATATAATAATCGTATTTCAATAGAATCTCAACTAGCATTTTGTCATTGTAAGTACTATCTACCCGTAGTCCAATATTATAAGTGCAATTTCATCTTCACAAATCAATGGTTACAGATATTTTTGTTTTGTGATCTAGTAACACATACTGTGACATAAAGGGTTGTAGTTAAAGCACTATTGACATTCCATAATTACTGTAACATTAACAAATTGCTTCACTGAAACATTTAAAATTATCACGATGATTTTCAAAAAAATACGGTGTTGTTTTATAAAAACTTTCGTGTTGCATTATATTAGATTATATAAGACGGGTATTAACGCAATAGATTTCGATAGTTAAGTTTTTCACCTACAGTCCGTGACTACATCCGGTGTAACCTGGTCGAAACGTCGGGAAAGATAGGTAGTTATTGTTTTATGTTTATATTTTATTAATAATGGCAATGTCTAGATTTGCGTATTATAATATTACTTCTTGCTTAGTGTAATTCAATGTAATAATGTAAGAATTAGTTTGTTTCATATATATAGTAAATTAATTTTGGTTCAAGAGACAAATGTCATTATAAAAGAAAACAAACTACTCATATCAAATTAGGACACTATGACAATGTCAATTAACTAAAGCTTAGCCAAAAGAAAACTATTAAGAATCAAAATACTCGAGTAAATTTCTCATAAAATATACTATTTGTTCGTAAACATTGCCCTGAAGTATTAGTTATACGGAGTTACTTCAGCGGCCTGACTGGCGGCTCCCCCTAGAGGCTGACGTTCTTTCAATTACTGCCAAAACGATTTCAGGATTTCCGGAGTACAAATTCTACTTTTTTATATAAAAATATAATATAAGTATTATATAGTTCGTGATAAGAAATAAAAGTTACCCTATTTTATTCTCGACACTATGTTTTATTGTGTTGTTTTTTTCGTTTTTAAGAAGTATCTACGAAAAGCGGAATAGTCACCATCATCAGTTAATAATATCTTTCAATAAGAAGATCTAACCATAACTCACACGGACCCAAACAAATTAAAATCTGCAGCAACTCAGAGTTTGGCATGGCTAATTTTTACTAGTAAATCAAACATTCATCAGCGTAGAATCTTATAATATTTTAAACGGCCACTTTCAAATTGCGGATGCAATAAAAAAAAAGCTCCCTTAAATATTTATTTTATTCTGGTAATTAGTGTTTGTTGTTGAAGCGGCAACAGAAAATATAATGGTCTAACTTTCATGGTGCATGATATACAGCCTGGTTACCAAAAAAACGATTAATTATATTATCGAAGCATGTGAATACTTTTGTCTGTGAAGCCGATAATCACGCCATATTGAGCTTGGCTATCGATTTTAACATCTATGATTTTGTGTGGAATGTCTTAAATTTCCTTAAGAAACATTCAATAGTATAAGTAAGTATGAATACATGAAATTACGTGAAATGTATTGACCATTTTTTAAGCTTATTGCGTTCGAACAGGAGGCCTGTTTACTCAACAGGAGTTTAATTAAACACTAATGTAATTATAAAAAAAGGTTCGCTAACGCTATGATCACTGTCATTAACCAAAGTTAAATATGAGAGAGACACGGCATCGCAAAGTTTCAACGAAAGCTGCACGCGAAGTTGTCCATAATTAAGTTACAGTTGCGCGAACTTATTTCACTTGGTGGAGGCGCAAGTTTCGAAGCCGCAAAACGTAAAACAAGTGCTCGTGTATATTAATCTTTCTTTAATAACTTTGAAACTATTCTTTAATTTTGAATTTAAAGGAGGAGGATCATTTAGATTTTTTTCCAGCTGTAATAGGTGCCTGAAAGCAACTGTAATTTTAGGTTGATAAAAAAAAAGAAATTTTGTATTTAAATATATTAAAACATATGTATTTAAAGTTTTCATGATTATTTTCATCCTATTTATACACCACAATTTGCATTTTTTAATATTTATCGTCAAAGTTCGGCCTTTTCAAATATTTAAGACTGCAGATGTACCCAACAACGGCTTAACGTGCCTTCCAAAGTTCCAAGCGCGACTTGATAAATTTTTAGTCACCCATCTTATGATTAGCCTTTGATAAAATTGCTTCACTTTTTCCTTCTCTATGTAATATGTTAATCTTCCTAAGTATCATATTTCTTTTTCTTTTCTAAACTTACCTTTTTCTATATCATTGTTTGTCTAAGATGTTTACGCCAGTAATATTCTCAATCTATGTTCACTTCACTCCCGTTACCTCTGGGAGCAGTTATATCGTCACTTATTAACGTAACCGGCTGCAACACAACTCACGACGCTTACCACCGCCACTCAATAGATGTCGCTAACGGTATTACAAGGAACTGAGTAAACTACGATAACAGGTTTTCTTTGCAGTCACATAATAAGCCTAAAGCGATGAACAGAATGGTAATAATTAACGTTCTGTTGATAGAGAGAGGAAATGGAACAATTCTAAATTAAAAAGGAGCCTTGTAAGTCTGAATTTAATATATACATAATGAGGTAAGGGGAAATGATGTCTGTATATTAGCGTTGATAACAAGCCCATTTGTAACTTTTAACCAACATAATAATATTTCTGAAATCATTTTACATATATAATATAATCGTAGCGTGGTTATAATAAAAACTCAAACTGGAAATTCTTTAGAGCATCAAGTAATTGGTTAAAAATTATAGTGATGTAAAAAGTAAAAGATCGATTACAAATAGCATTTTGTTTCGTTTTTTATAGTTAGATCCAGCATTGAAGATTGTGTTTTTTCATATTAAAATTGATCGTGCGCACCGCCACACTAAATCACAGGGTGTGTGAAAAATTTACGTTTGTGTTTTTTCTAAACAAACCCGACTATGTTGCTCAAAGTGTTCTGCAGCAATAATTTAAATACATTTAAAATAATATTGTAAAATGATACACAGCTTTAATGATATAATCAATGAATTTATTCATTAACTATAAGCGATTAATTAGAATTAAAAACCAGCCAAATAAAAATGTTATAAAGATATTAATATTTTTATAAATCTTAAAATCTTTTCTTTTCAATCGTCACATGGTTGAATTTTGTATCCTCTTCTAAAAGAATATGTATCTATATATTAACATATACAGGATTTTAGTCGTTATGTTTATCCATTAAATTTGTATATCCATTAAAAGTGACAATTTAGGAACCATAGGCTGAAACTAAGGGTGGCGCCAGAGTGACGCCAGGTTTCGCTCGCAGGTATTTGACGGCAATCCACATTGACTTCGCACTGACGTACAGCACAACTTTGTTTTTATATATTTTAAAAATAACGTAACAATTGTTTTCTATATTGTGCTTATTAAATCTTTCGCTCGTAAATACCTTTATTAGTTAAATCGACGATTTTTTTTTATATTACCTTAAACAATTTTATGAATAAGTGTGCCATCGTTTATAATTTTCTTGTATTTTTTCCCAGCTATTTTGTTTCTGTTTGACAATTTGAAAGTTTTGCAAAGCAAAGTGACTTTAGAACCACATGACAAGTTCTCGTCAACTCCTTTAATCGTATTCGTTAATAAATATTTGTCGGAAAAATGTGATCCCTTGAAATTCAGTTTTGCTATATCTCTATCTGATAATTTAGTGATATCAGCAGGTTGTTGCTTCTTCTCTTCGCTATTAGAAATGTTTGAGCTAGTACTGTAATTGCAGACTACATCCACTCTTATAATTTGTACAGTTTCTGGACTCGGCACTCTTGATATAGTCAAGCTCTTCCTTTTACCAGTACTATAATATGCTACTTTAGCATCTTCTATAACGTTTTTATCAGTTTCGTTATATTTTAGATTTTGTATATCACCTTCGCCTCTTTTTATATCAGGAATTTTCATTTCAGATTTTTTTATTAGACATTCGGCACCATCTACTTTGGTTTTAGTATCAACTTGAGCAGATTTTTCTGTGAAATTATGATTTTGCTCATGAATACTAGATTTACTGGATGAAGCTCTAGAGCGATCGGTGCTTAATATGTATTTAACGTAATCGTCAAAGTAATTGACTAAAGGTGTTGACCTATCTTCTTCATAATTGAAATCCTCTTCTACAACTTGTTTAACGAACATTCTATGACTTCTGTCTCTGTTCAGCGATTTGTATTTGAAATTTGTTCGAGTTTTTTTGAGATCTTGCACGTTTCCTAGGAATTTTAAATTTTGAACTGTAAGATATAAGTTCTCTTGATCCTGTGAAGGCGTGCCGCTACATTCTTTGTCAGACTCCTCTATATTGGTTAATGGATTGCAATGAAATCTGTAAAAATAATGTCTTGTGAATTCATCATTTTTGCTATAAATGTTGACTTTTGGTTGGACTATTTCAAATAAACCATTTCAGGTGGTCATGCCAATTATTTGAACTTAGGCGACTGCAAATCACTAATTTCTTTGATATAATATAAGACAAATTTATTAGTCTATTATAAAGATAAGACAAAATAAGATAATATTATTCGGACTATGGTTATAGTTATACTTGCCTTTGGAGTGCATCCATCCAACGAGGATCTTCAGAATGCTCCGGATTCACCAACCGTCTTTGACAATATCTTCTTGGCTTTTCCCTCGGAAAAATTTGCTTCGCTGTTGTCTTTCCTCTTTCCTGTAGGTGAAGCCGCGCGCATTTCATCCTCGCAAACCTAGTGAATAATAATTCTTATTAACATTATCGCTTTATTCTTCTTGTGTAGATAGATAGAATAATCTTTTTTGTACATATAACATTAAACACTTAAAATTTCAATTGTAGAAATAACACATACAAATAGCGGCCTCATCATTAAAAGTATCGTTATCTAAATAGTTGATTAATCTAAATACATTATTTAATTTAAAACCCGGTTTTAAAAACACACATTTTATCGCCCCCCAGAATCAACATATATCAGAAAGCGACTTTGTTATATACATAGTATTAACATACTAGTATAAAACAATTGTTTGTACCCTAAGATATTTTAAATTACACAACAGATTTAAATGCAGTTTTCTTAAAAATACAGAGTGATTCAAGAAGATTTATATATATAATAAAGAATCACGTGGACGAAGCCGCTGGCTGGAAACTAGTATCAATTAAATTAAATATGTCAACGATTGTTGTGTACTTATGGTTACTTGAAATTACCAAGAAAGAATCAAACTGATATTAAAATTTAAAAATACCCGTACACTTTTTTTATTTCTTTAGGTAATAGTGTACATCCAGTGACCCTTGCTGTCACTGCCACAAAGCGCGAATTGGATTTTCTTGGATTTTCTATAGCTTTCTATCACCAACTTGTTTATTATCAATCCCAAGTTTTAGCTCAACAGTACAATAGTTTCGGACCTAATCAGTATTGACAGACTTCTAGACAGAAGGACAGACAACCGAATGAACTAACTGCTTCCGTTTTATCTTTTCGGTTACGCCACCGTAAAATCGATCAGCGATGAAAGGATTTTCTCAGTCGTTCAATTGTAATTAAATGAGTGTACGTATAAAAAAGTATACGTTCTTTTTCTCATCGTTCTTTATAAAAACAATTCGACATCGAGGTCAGCGCTATCATAATATAAAGATTTAATCAAATAAAACCTACCTCAAACAGCAATACAAGTTTTATTTTATCGAACATTTATGCTATGACAGCTGGACGTTGAGTTTAAGGTTATTTTCTTAAACAGAATTCTATAGCTTGACCTGGACACGTAATCCAAAAAATAGCAATCAGCATGCAACAAATCAAAATATGTAGCTGAGGGCTTTGAAACGTTTATGTCAAATCTATCATCATCGACATTATCGTAGCGATTTTTACGGTAATTTGTTAGTTTTTTTATTTGGATAAACCTAATTTGATGTGAACTAAATAAATAATAATAAATATTTTTACTTACTCAGATCGAAAACGAAGCAGCTTCTACAACTAATAACCAAACTCAAAAAAAAGATAAGTTATCTGCATTAACCCGACTGGGAATCGAACTAGTTCTCAAAGATGGCGATACGTTGAAACAAGGAGCAAAGCCCTAATCCACAAATTGTCAAAGAAATACGTACAACAATCCTATCTCGACATTCGTAACACATCTTTAAACAGTAGATTAAATATTATAAAATAATAATAATATATATTAAATTCGATCGAACAGGCTAGCTGTTTTGATGTTGATGATAGTACGATTGAGGTTCGCCATTTATATGTTCTAACAGTGCTATTTATAAACAAGGTTTAGCGTCGGAGTAAATTTACGATAAAATTGTAGTTTAAGTATTAGTCAAAATTCATATTATACTGATAATAAGCATACCTACTACCCTCTAGGAGTAAGTATTTCCCGTAGAGCCTCGTACTAGGTTAACCTTTCCTAGGGCTCTGTCTAATAATATGAATTATGACTAATACTGAGTGCAATCTCAGCGTTAATTTAATCAATCGCTAAACCTTGTTTATTAATAATACTGTAAGAGATCGAGATGACGTCCGCGTGTGGAATGCGAGAGATTTCTGTAGCTCACTTTTATTAGTCGATCATAGTTTTATTGAACAATGAGATGAACCTGGAGGTAATTTGCAATTTGCGTGGGACCTGTCAGTATAACTGATCCATGACCCTTTAACTCTAAAATAGCAGACCGAAAGTGCTAACCACTGTCGAACTCCTCAAGGTTAGATATAAGTAGGCAATTCAAATTGATTCCTTTACCGTGATCTGGGTATATTAAATACGATTGTTAGTGGATTGTAAAATTGGGCAAGTTCAACCCCTTCACAGGGTGGTTGTTCAAGGACTTGTGTGAGACAGTAAGCTTGCGCAACAGTTACATTAAAATTTTACTACCTCTAAATAAACAAACGAGAACGGCAAAATAACAGCCATGTGTTAGTTAAATAAAATAATGTCATTTTCTGCTTGTGGATTCAATGACTGTGAATTTTTATATATATTATGTCTTTACTAATATTATAAAAGGAAAGATTTGATTGTTTGTTTGCGTCAAATAGGCTCTATAGGTACTGGACCGATTTTAAAAATGATTTCACATTCCTGTGCGGGTGACATAGATTATGATTTATGTGGATGAAATCGCGGGAAAATAGCTAGGTTATTTTATATAAATTTAAAAGTAGGTGCAGATTTTTGATCATCATTGAAGTAAATTAGACAAGGTGTTTAAAAAACTAAAATTATCGATACATTACAAGAAGTGAGAACATTAAATAAACATTAAAGAGACAATGAAATAATACCTATTTTCCTGAATTAAGAAATTAACTTTATAAACCTACATTTAATTAAAACAAATAAAAGCAAATTGATTTACATATAATCATCATTATCGAAACCTTATGGAAAAAAAAATAAAACTTTATTCATTCTTAGTATTCTCTAAATTAGTTTCGCCTGAGGTGAAACGATATATTAAGGCTTAGTTTGTATTGTTTGTATGTAAAAGTAATTTTTATTTTAAGCTTTTGCAAATTCTGAAAGACTTTTCAAGGTGAATACCTATAGTAAATCTGCTTAAATCGTTAACAGCTCCCCTCATAAAAGAACCACATAATAAAACAAAACATTTTTGTTCTGCGTAAGCGCATAAAAGATTTCTTCACTAAATTATTGTCATAAAATCTTTCTGCAAAGCTCTCTGTACTTTTTCTAAGCCATTGTTTAACATCTATTCATTTTAGAAGCAATTATGTTTAGTTATCTCCGCTCAGACTATCTCACTCTAACTTATTCAAAGTGCCATCGGATTAGAAAGGGACACTAGTGTACAAGGTTTTTTTTTTGGTGAGTATTGATAAAGGAACTACAATGGCGGCAGGATAGTGTATTTGATCTAGCAACGTAGCGGTCCACATGTTCTTGGGAACAGCTTGGCAAAGATGCAAAAAAAAGTTTTCTATATCATTAAAGTTTGACCAGTAATTTTGATCCTTTAAAATATCTGAAAGGATATTAAAAATATGTCAATTAATAGACATACGGTCAGTTGCACAAACGTCCATTAAGGGTTAAAACTGGTACAAAGTTATTACATTATATTAATAATTTTACGAACTATACAAATAGCTTAATCGTGTTGACTCTGGATCGATTATTTTAGCTTTACATAATTATTCGGAATCAACGCAGCGTAACACACCGTCTCACTTTTTCTTCCAGTCAAATGTCAAAATGTCACGCAACGCTTTACGACATAATCAAAGCTGCGAACATTGTATTTTTCTATTTAGTTTTTAAGGATTATAAATCCTGAAGTCTTAGCGATTTTCCATTATAACGACTACCTTTATTACTGGTATATTACGTAAGTCAATTTAGTAATGACTAACAATACAATTTTTGGTTTTCGGCATTATTTCAGTAGTTACTTCAAAGTAGTCAGTAATACTACTATGGGTACTATATATCATAAATTTGTAAAAAAATATCAAATCATGATCATCGAACTATATCTATGCGCACACACACATTTTAATAGGCACATCTGCTATGAGACACACACAAGCACGCCGGTGCATCGCGTCTTGCTTCGGTAACAAAAAATGCATTATTATTATCCTGGAACAAGGACGATGCCCTTTGCACGAAACTGTACCTTAACACCGAACGATACCACTCATATTAATGTATCTATAAGAAAGCGAGCGATTAACTTATACTTCATCCGTGATATTTGTCGTGTTACGTGATTTTTGCTCTTGTATATTTAACATAAAGTCTATTTTAATAAACGATAACATGCGATGGAATGTTAGTTTAATAATTGTAGTAAAAAAAAAGTGTATCTCGCTAGGCGCCAAATGCACGGTGTACTACGTTTACGGTGTTTTCTATGAAATCTGTTCAAAGACAAACGTGCAAACGTGACATTATTCGAAGCCATGATATTACTAAGATCCTTTATTGTTTTGATAGGTTATTTTTGGTACGTATACATTAATAAAATTGAATAATAGATAAATAACTTATTCCATGATCAGTTTTATATATAGAAATATAAACCTCAGTCGTGTTCAATCGATATTTAAAATAGCATAAAATACTTATTAGAAGATATTTATTTCCCCAATGTTAAATTTAAAATCTAATTGTTATCTAACAAAATCTGAAACAAAACTTGCTTTATATACAATAGGTATTTTAAGTCCAGTATAAAAACTTTTAAGTAGAAATATCATTGAGTTCAAACAATAAAAAAATATTGTTTATCTTCACAGAACTCACCCATTTTCGAATGAAAATTAAGACAAACAATAAGGCTTAACAAATTATTGTGAAAAGATGTTTGAGAAAAGAAACGCGTAAATGAATCTCTTAACAAATATTTGCTTGAAACTGTTTTAGCTTCAAACGGATTTTTGATGAGACTACTTTCCTTTTGTATTTCTTGCTGTAGTAAATAATATTACTTTAATAGTATAAAACTATATAAAACACCGTATGTTTTACAGCCAGTTGCAAAAACATCCAATAAAAATGTCATTAGTTTAAAGTATCATTACCCTTACAATATTGATATTAATTAGAGCTTAAAAGCGTCTTTCAACCTTAATGGTCATTTGTGCAACAGACCGCTAGAAATTTTATTCGCAAAAATTAATAGGTAAGTTAAAGACTGGTTAGAAAAAGAAA